CACACACACACACACACACACACACACACACACACACACACACACACTCCGATCAGCTCGGAGCAGAACGTTCTTTCAAAGTAAAAAAATAAAATAAAAGATGTTCTACAAAATAAAAGCCCCTGAAATAAAATAATTTTCAATTAAAACATTTTATTTATTGACGTAAAAAAATTAAAATACTCAAATAATTTCCTATTTTTGTATTGGACGTGCAAATTTTATGTCCACATGAAGTAACTTTACACCGTTTCATCGTTCTTTAAATATTTTTATAAGTTTGTGTGTGAAAGACAGAGACATGAAATAATTGTATAATTGTCAAGAAAGGTAAAAGTTCAGATTTATTTCCTCTGATTACGTTGATCTTCCACGGCGGATGACAGTGTTTGCTTGTCAGTCTGTTAGCAAAATATTTCATCACCACCTGAGTGAAACTTGCAGGAAGTCGTCGTTGGGTTATCGCCTACATGAGGAGTCTAACTAAATACCAACTAAACCAGGCCCAGAGTGGGTAATCAGGAGGGTCTGGAGATTTTGGTGGGCCGGTCTGATGTGGGCTGCAGGGCCGCCGCTCCGTTTTAATTTTAATTTTTTTATAAACGACATGTAAACACAGAACTCTGCCACCGCTGGACCTGGGCTGCCCCGCCTCCACCCAGTGCCGGCGGCAGCTCTCGTTTTTTTTTTTTTTTTACAAGTCAGGGCTGTGACGCGACCTGTCAATCAATCCGGTAGGCGTGTCAGCAAATGACCACTCGGCGACCTCATTTTGTCCCGAAGGTAAACGCCCCTTACCTGCAGAGCTGCGCTGCAGTTCATCAGGGAACTAAACAGCTAGTAGCTGAGAAATGATCCTGCACTTAATACTCTTGTAACTCACACGTAAAGCGTTTAAAAGTAAATTATAAACACGAACTGGTTTCAGTGGGGATTTTAGCCTCTTTTTGGGGGTGCTCAAGCGCCCCTAAATTTTAACTCGGCACCCCTGAAAAATGAAGGAACCATCATTAGGACTTTGTAGGAAACAGTTCTCAAACCTTAGATTCACCAAAATATGGAATAAATGTGGAATAAATGACAACGGTCTTAAAATGGGCCAGTAAAATCCTTGTTTTTTTATTTTTGTGTGTTAGTCGGATCCTCGACTCACCTGTCAATCAATCCAGTAGGCGCGTCAGCAACTCACCAATCAGTAGTGGTGGAGAAGGTACTCAAAGACTGTACTTAATAAAATTACAAATAAACAGACAGAAATGTAAAAGTAGAAGTACCACATTAACATTTATACTTGAGTAAAAGTAAGTACTTGCATTTAAAAATACTTAAAGTATTAAAAGTAAAAGTACTTGCTGAATGTATTACCTAATGCAATGGTCTACATATCTTTAAGTGTACCTGTATGTATATTTCTGTAATACATTAACAGTGTTGAGCCATTTTAATGAACGATGCTGCAGATAATACATGTTTTTATTGTGTTTACTCTGTGACACCGTTCAACTTGGACTTGTGATTCTGTGAATCAGAATTCAGGGATGACCTGCAGAGTTAACTGTCATTAATCAAAATAAGAAAGAGGAACGGTTATATTGAAAGATTTTATTTAACACAAACCATTGTGTCATTTTAACTGCAGTAAAACATTTAAGTAAAAGTTGTCTGATGAACAAAAGGAGCATTAGACACAACAAAGGAACAGGCTCAGATCAGTTCAACCCCAGTTTGTCATCAACTCTAGTTAAATACTGTCTATTCAAACTTGTAATGGGACAATATTGAACAATATTTTAACTTCCTGACACCATTTTTAAAACTTGGACCCGAGTGTCGAGTCATTTGGAAACGTCTCTCGTCTCCTAACATCATGAACTGACACATTTTAATGTTGCAGCAAGAATTTATTGTTCAAGTTCACAAGAAGTTGGTTTTCAAAGATTTTTCAGTCCAGTCTGGATCTTTTGAGATGGAGAATCTGTCCTGCTGTACTGAGCAGTCTTTCAATAGCCTTTCAACAATCTTTCAACAATCTTTCAACGATCTTTCAATAATCTTTCAACGATCTTTCAACAGTCTTTCAATAATCTTTCAACAATCTTTCAATAACCTTTCAACAATTTTTCAACAATCTTTCAATAATTCAACAATCTTTCAATAATCTTTCAACAATCTTTCAATAATCTTTC